TTTCATTCTGGCTGGCACCATCAGACCCTGCGGTCACAATTACCCCAGCAATTGCACACTCCACCCTTCCCGGTTCATCAGACTTCCCCTTGGGGCCACACTGGGCCCCATTCGCTCCCTCTGCCTCTTTCCCCCAAAGAGAGGAGGCTCACTTTTGCCTGGGGGATGTGGGGGTCTTGGTGCTCATTGAACAGTGACATTATGAGAGAGCCCCCAAGAGGATATGGCCCCTTGGGGCCCTCCCAGGACATAAAAATCAATGAAACACGACAGCACAGTAGGCTTGCTGAGTACAGACATGACCGTGGGATGGGGGAAGTGTGCCCAAGGGATGAAGAGTATGGGGACCCGACAAGGGACCGGGGACGTGGGTGGCAGAGAATGGGTCAAGAGGGCGGTCTAGAAGAGTTGGTCAAGCTCTGTTGGATTTTTTTTTAATACAGATTTTAAAAAATATTTTATTTATTTTTTATTTTAATTAATTAATTAGTTAATTAATTATTATACAGATCACAAGTAGACAGAGAGGCAGGCAAAGAGAGAGAAGGGAGAAAGCAGGCTCCCTGATGAGCAGAGAGCCCTATGCGGGCCTCGAGCCCAGGACCCTGAGATCATGACCCGAGCTGAAGGCTGAGGCTTTAACCCACTGAGCCACCCAGGCGCCCCAAGCTCTGCTGGATTTTTACCTTTTGCTAAAACAAAAAACTCCCCTCCTTCCCTGCATGCTCAGGGGTCAGGACAAGCGTCGAATGTCAGGAAGATCCACATGTGACCCCACAGCCCAGAGAGCAACATTTTCCTAAGACCTAAAATTGGCAAAACCAGCTAGAGGTTCCCCATCAGGCCGGGGGCAGCAGTGGGAAGATGTGGCCCAGAGTAGATGAGGGCAGCTGGCATTTGATGCCAACACTCGCCCCGGGCCAAGGGAGGCGAACAGAACATCTGACATCAAGGAGCTCAAGTTGTATCAAGATTAACAGCTCGAGCTGTCCCGACCAAGCATGGCCGGCTGCCACTTAGTGAGAGCCTAGAACATGCCGCACGCTCACAGGCAATATTTCGAAAGGTGGGAGTCGTTCTCAGCCTCTCTATAAACTGTCATCTACACACCTATCTACGAAAAAGAAGACTGAGGGGCGCCTGGGTGGCTCAGTGGTTTAAGCCTCTGACTTCAGCTCAGGTCGTGATCCCAGGGTTCTGGGATGGAGACCCAAATCTGGCTCTCTGCTTAGTAGGGAGTCTGCTTCCCCCACGCCCCCGCCTGCCTCTCTGCCTACTTATGATCTCTGTTTGTCAAATAAATAAATAAAATCTTAAAAACAAAAAAAAGAAAAAGAAGACCGAAGCATCTGAAGGTTAAGTTGTGCCTGAGGACACATAACCAGCAAGGTGTCAGATCCGCGTGTCCGTGTGGGTCTGTCCTTGGCCGTGACCGCTCTTCTCCCCCACTGGATGGTGCCTTGTGGGCTCACACACTTCACGGCCCCTCTGTAGACCGCAGGGCCCATGCCTGCAAATTTGAAGGACCAGACTAAATGGTTCCCAGTGTCCCCTGCTCTGAAATACTGGGATAGAATTGCGGAAAAAAGCAGCCGCGGACAAGCAGGGCTGGGGCTAGGTGACGGGTTGGGGCTTCTGCCTTCTTCAGGCCATAGGTTTATAGGAGTGTAAGGAAAGAAGGCCAGCAGTGGCCAGAGAGGGGGAGGGGCTGTGGAGGCAGAGGAGGGGACATTGGGCATGGCACCTGTGTGAGAAGGGACCCTGGACATGCCAAGGAGGCATGTGCCTGTCGGGGTCCCAGGGGCATGATCTTAAGTGAGGAGAGGCCTGGAGACAGGCCACTCACCCCAGCTCACTGCGAGGAGAGGGGCAGCGCCAGGCTAGCCCAAACACAGGCTATTTTTGGCTTTGTGTTGTTTGGAAAGCAACCAGGCCAGAAATAGTGCTGTGAGTTAGAAGGACCCTGTCTTTCTCCCACCCCCGGCTCTCCCAGTGAAATCACCAAGAATCGGCAGGGCAGGCCCCAACATTCCAGGGAGCCTGTGTAACTGATAGGGGGCAGCGCTCTCCTCCCCACAGGAAGAATTGGAGCAGAGCATTTGACTGTAAAAGGGCTTCTGCAAGAGGAGAAGCCAGAGAAGGGGGGACTGAGTCAGAGCGGAAGAGAAAGAAAGGGGGAAAGTGGGAGAGATCTCCCGTGGCTAGAGTAGGGGTGGAAACCTGTTAAGGAAGAGTTGAACAGGGAAGTCAAGAAGAGGGAGTCCCAGGGGGAGAAAGGGAAAGTGAAAAAGCCAGTGGTGTTGGGAGAGCAAAGGGGAAGGAAAGGGGAAGAGAGGAGAGCAGGTCAGGGACAGCTGGAAGGCAGGAGGTGAGGGGTGCGAGGAAGACCCGCTGCTCTGAGGCCAGAAGCTGGGGTCTGTGGGTGGAGGGTAGGGGACAGTCATGGAAAATGTGACTCCGGTCTAGTCACGAACCACCTGCTGGCGGACAGATGGCTACATCTTTCCCAGTTGGCTGGAACTGAAACTTCCCCTGAAATTCACAGTCTTATAACTCACCCTCTTATCTCTGACCCTCTGGGAATCAGAGATCAAGCAATTTCAAAAGCAGGGACTTTTCTCTTTCTGTCTGTTTGATCCTTTACAAAAGAGCTATGGCTTGAGCAAGGTCAAGGCTGTTCGCTTGGGCTTCAGGAAAAGGGGGTAAAGTGATGGCCCCTTGACTCAGGATGGATTCTGAGAAGGGTGTCACATGGATGTCTGCTGGGGGACAGCGGGGGGACCTAGCTGCACTGAGACATGTGGAAGGTCTCCAGAGGGCAGACAGGGAGGAAGCAAGGCCTGACCACACAGAGGAGTGACAGTGACTTAGGTCAAGTCTGGGTTTGGTCATCTAGCAGCCCTAGCTCCTCAGAAAGTCAAAGGAAGAGTCAGAAACCCCAGCATAGGACCCAGTGACACTGGGCCTTGCCTCAGTTTCTAATTCACACCCATTCACACCCATGACTGACTTCGTAAAGTCAGCCCTCGTAAATTGCATCCCCGCTCTCCCCAGTGGGACACAGATCTGCTCCGAGGGCCTGGGAACAGAGGGTCTTTTCTGGAATGCCGTCAGGATCATCCGTCAGGTCCAGGAGCAGGGATGGAACCGGTCACTGCCCTGGCAGGATCCAAGCTGTCCACAGAAAACAGCAGGGACTTTTAGGCTAAGGCCTGGCTGGGTGAGGCCAGGAGAGGGACGATGGCTCCCGGTATGGCCAATGGAAGAAGAGAAGGTGTCTCAGCTCAAGGAGGCTACAGAGGACGGGCAGCAGGGTGCCCCCAGGGACCCCTTCCAGTTGCATCTCCAACCACTGCCCCACTAGCTTGGGGCTTGGCCCTCCCACCCTGTCCCCCTCACCGTTATGCCCCCAGGGGCGGGGGGCGGGGCACTGGGGGCATATCCTGGGGTAGGAGATGGGCTGGGGGCTGCGCTTCTGTCTTCTCCCCTTGAGAGAGGTCAAGAGTAACCGCCCCCTTGTGCTTAACCACTTTCTCAGGGACTGCAAACCAGACCAGCAGAGGAGAAGGACATAAACAAGAAGTTACATGGGAACTGTCCTATACTGGAAAAGGGTGGGTGATCCTAACTTTCCGACCGAGGTTTGCCCTTCTCTCCCTGGCGCCCCCTCCCCACCTAACTCCCAGGGGCAACGGAGAAAACAAACGGAGGGAGGCCGAGGCGGAGTACAAGTGGGGAAAGTGGGGAAAGCCGTCCAGCTGTGGTTGCCATTGACATTTGCTTACTGAAAAAATCCAAAACAAATACCCCGACACTTCCACCCACTCAAACTTCCTGTGATTCTGCTATCGGATGTCTCCATGGATACTCCCAGTTGAACCCTACCACCTACACCCAGCAAGACAGTGTGTGGACCAGCAGGTCAAGGGCTTCATCTCCCCACCCAGCCACCCCTTCTGCCTACAACAGCCTGGGCACGTGGCTGGAGCCCACTAAGCCCCCAGATGCCCGAGTTCAGTCCCACACACCAGCCTCTGGCCAACTCCCATCCTCTCTAGGATTGTTGGGTCACTCCTCCACCTCCAAGCCCAGTGGCCTAAAGACGCACCCCACAAACAAAAGGCCACAAATGGATTCTCTCACTGGCTGCTCCAGCCCTGAGAGTGTCTGCTTCTCGAGGAAAGGATAAGATGTAATTCTCCCCAGCCTCCAAATTCCTTGCCAAGTCTTTACCCCGTTAACCCCTGGTCCCTCTCACCTTCCATCACCCCACCCAGCACACTCAAACCCCCCCCCAGACACAGCTGTTGGCACACAAGAGAGTCCAGGGGGCACCTCGAGAGTCTGGACACGTGGGAGAGTCAGCTGTGTATCATCGACGGGCTGGCGGGCCCCCGGCAGGGAAGAGGAAAAAAAACGGAAGGGAGTCCTCTATGTGCTCATGTCCTAGACAATCAAAACCCAGACAATCACATGGCACGCTCCGTGCCCTCTGGCTGCTGGGATGAGGCCAAGAGGAGGGAGGCAACCCGTTTCTCCGAGAGAAAAGGAAGGAATGTAAACTTTTTCTCCCGTGCAGGTCATTGCAAACACGGGGTATTTGGGGGCCGTCTGGCCCTGCCAGGGGTCAAGCTAGCAGATCATCTCAAAAAACAAGGGCACAGGCAGAGGGGAGCAAGTCCAGGGAAGCCCTTGGGCCAAGGCAAGTAGGGTTTGCTCAGTTGTTCCTGACCCCACTCACACACGTACACACACAGAGCAGCACGCACACACATGCCTCAGCGAGTTTGGCAGAGGGAGGTGCAGAGGGGGCCTGGCCGGACTTCCAGATCCAGAAAGTGGGTGGGGCTGAGCCATGAGTTCATCTATTTCCTGCCCACAGTGGTATAAAGGGAGGTAGCAGGCTGCCGAGGAACACAGCTGCGTCTGGCTGCGGGGCCACAAGCACTGTCAGGGGAGCCACACCCCCTCTGGGACAGCAGAATCACCACTGTCAGCAGCAGCAGCAGGACAGACCAGCAATCACAAGGCACCTTTGAGAACTTCAGGTAAGAGAGAAAAAAACCAAACCTCTCCGTCTCTTCCTCGGATTGAGGACAAGAAGGCCCCTCGGCGAAACGCCTCCCACGAAATGCCCTCCATCCACAATCCCCGCTTTTCCTCTTTTCTCTCCACTGGAGACCTGCAGATCTGAGTTGATGTACGGTGGTGGGGCCGGACCCACAACCCCACTGCACGGAAACAAGGGCCTGGATTCTCTGTCCTTCTGCATGAGGACTCCCTGCCCTCATCTGGGAAGGGGCTTTTCATGCCTGCTAACTTGAATGAATGAATAGTGGTGAAAACATTAGAAGAGAATTAAAAGCATTATGCAAATCAAAGGCAGTATTATAATTTAGCCTTTTGCCCTCCCCGCCCCCCCCACAGGGAGAGACACTGCTGGGTGCTGCTAGGGGGCTGCTGGAGTCCCACAGGTAGAACTGCACCTGGGACTCCGTGGGGCTGAGACGGAGGGGGAAGGCTCAGAATCGGGCCCTCAGGGTCTCTTCCTTGTGTTCACACATCACCCGCCCACGGCAAACACAGGGAGCCTGGCCCCTGGCAGGGGCGCCCGTCTCCCCGCCCCACCCACCCCTCTTCCAGAATTCTCCCCTCACCAGATTCTTTTCCGCTTGCTCTAGGATGCAGATGTCTACAGTCTGCCTTGCCCTGGGCCTGGCCCTTGTCTTTGGTAAAGCATCAGCCTCCTACCTCCACGAGACTCGGGCAGCGGAACTGGCCACAGACTTCGGAGTGAAAGTGTTTAAGCAGGTGGCACAGGCCACCAAGGACCGCAACATGGTTTTCTCCCCCTATGGGGTGGCCTCTGTCCTGGCCATGTTGCAGCTGACCACAGCAGGAGAGACCCGGCAGCAAATCCAAGAGGCCATGCGGTTCAAGATTGATGGTGAGAGATGGGGCAGAGCGGGGGGCGGGCGGGTGCTCACCCTGTCTTCTTGGGACAGGGGCGTCACCAGCCAGAAGCAGGGGGAAGGCCAGCCCCAGCTGAGCCGAGTCACCTCCTGTGCCCCATTTCCCTGCACACCCTGTGTCATGGGGCCGAGTCTGTCACCGGGAGTACGGGTCAGGGGATGGGACTTACCCCTTATTAACTGCGCTACCTTCATCCCCTGTGGACCTGTTTCCTCATCTGCAAAATAGGGACAAGAAAATTATCTCCCACACAGAGCTGCCGTGAGGGTTCAATCAAATTGTGCGGGTGAAACGCTTCTCATCGCTATTATGCCGATAAGAAAAAAATGTAGGGTTCATGACTTAAAAGGAGAGAAAAATATTCGAACCCACAAAAGGGTGGGGACCTGAGATTTTTGAGGAAAAGAGGGAGATGAAGAAGAGATTAAGATTTGGAAGGATAATTCCCTCCAGAGGTCCCCAGGAAGCAGAAGAGCCCCATTCAGACGGGCGGGATTGGGCCTCTCTCATGGGGGATCTTGGCCCAAAGGGGCGCCCTTGGCTTAACATAAGCTAACGTGTCCTCTCTGTCCTGTCCGGGCACAGAGAAGGGCATGGCACCTGCCCTCCGCCAACTGTACAAGGAACTCATGGGGCCATGGAACAAGGACGACATCAGCACTGCGGATGCCATCTTTGTCCAGCGGGATCTGAAGCTGGTTCACGGCTTCATGCCCTACTTCTTCAGGCTGTTCCGAACCACAGTCAAGCAGGTGGACTTCTCAGAGGTGGAGAGAGCCAGGTTCATCGTCAACGACTGGGTGAAGCGACACACAAAAGGTGAGCCGGCAGGGACAGGGGGCTGGGCCCGAGGGCCCGCAGAGGAAACAGATCCCCAGCAGCCCAGTCTCTCCTTGCCAGCGTGCTCTTCTCTGTGGACGGGTCAGGTGCTGGTTCTTAGAGAAGAACCAGAGCATCTCTGTTTTCATAAGTAGGCCCTCTAAGGGTGCTCAAAAGGGCTGTGAGATGTCATAAGAAGGGTAATGAGCGGGACTCCTGGGTGACTCAGCGGGTTAAGCTCCTGCCTTCGGCTCAGGTCATGATCTCAGGGTCCTGGGATTGAGTCCCGCATCGGGCTCTCTGCTCCGCGGGGAGACTGCTTCCCGATCTCTCTCTCCCTCTCTGCCTGCCTCTCTGTCTACTTGTGATCTCTCTCTGTCAAATAAATAAATAAATTCTTTAAAAAAAAAAAAAAAGAACGGTAATGAGCACAAGAACACAGCTCTCCCAGACTACAGCTTAGGGAGCAAAGCAAGGGAAAAGCCAAAGTTAGGGAAGACTTCTCTCCGAGTCTGATCCCAGACGGGATCCCAGCAGCAGAGCGTGTCCTGGGCGGGAAGCTCTCCCGAGACTCCTATGAAGACAGAACAGGTGGAACACAGCTAGCCCTGCTCACTTACACCCCTAGTCTGCCTCAAAGACACACATCCAATCTGAGGACTGAAGGAAACCTGCTAATAGGACTGAAACCTATCTGACCCCGTCACCGCTCACCTGGCTTTCTCGCAGGCATGATTGGCGACCTGCTGGGCAGAGGGACTGTGGACCAGCTGACGCGCCTGATGCTGGTGAATGCCCTCTACTTCAACGGCCAGTGGAAGACCCCCTTCCCCAAGTCGGGCACCCACCACCGCCTCTTCCACAAATCTGATGGCAGCACCGTCTCCGTGCCCATGATGGCTCAGACCAACAAGTTCAACTACAGTAAGTTCAAGACCTTCTTCCAAAAGTCCCAGCACTACTAGACCTCATCCCCCCAGGGGGATCCCCTCCCAGGGAGGAGAAAGTCCCGAATATAGCCCAGCTTTGCCAAAGACTCCTCAAGCAGGAGCTGTTGGGATAGCAGGAGCAGCCAAATGTAGCTTTAGCGCATGCAAGACAAAGCTGACATCCAGAAAGTCCCTCCAGCCCACATATGACCACCTGATCTCTGTCTCCAGTCAAATGTTTCTAGTATGATTACAAGGGGGGGCTCACAAAGCCTCCAGGGGGAAGGCCTGTACAGGTGGACGTTGAGCTGAAGGAGAAAAGAATGAGGATGAATTAGTGGTTGGGTGTGGGGGACACGGGAGTGAAGGCCAAGAAGCCCAAAAGGAGACAGGGTAACCAGACGACACTGAATTGGCAGAAGAGGAGGAAATGGGGATTAAAAACTTTGACTGGGGGAGCCTCCAAAGCCCGGGTAGAAAGCTGGCTTCCAGAAAGAGCAGAAGAGACCAAACTCGTTGAAAACCCAGTGCTGGGTGAGAACCAGCAAAAGCAGAAGCCATTATCAGTGCGCCAATCCGGTGTCTTCGCAGCCGAGTTTTCTACCCCCGACGGCCATTATTATGACATCCTGGAACTGCCCTATCACGGAGACACGCTCAGCATGTTCATTGCTGCTCCCTATGAAAAAGACGTGCCCCTTTCTGCCCTCACCAACATCCTGGATGCCCAACTCATCAGCCAGTGGAAAGGGAATATGACCAGACGGCTCCGCCTCCTGGTTCTGCCCAAGTAAGTCACCCCTCGCTCTCACCACCCTTGCCAATCCCTCCCCCAACCCCCCCTATGTGCCCCCTCCCCTCCCCCAGGGCTCCCTGAAAGGCCCACCTCCAGTTTCCCAGATGTGACATTTGCAGGGCAGGGACATGTGTGGGAAGCTGATGGGAAACACTCTGGCCTGGGTTTGATTAAGATTCCGCTCATCCTCCCTCCTCCTGTTTCCACTGGAGGGCGGTGGGGAGTCTTTCTAGACTGTGCCCCCACCCTGCCCACCCTCAGCATACCAGGCCAAAGCCAGCCAAAGGAAGAGCCAGAGAAATGGTGGAGGTGGGGGGCCAGATCGGCCTTTGAAAGACCCTTTCCCACCCCCCCTCGGCTCAAGTCAACATCCAAACAATGGAGACAAAAGGAGCCCGAGCAGCTTCTAGCTGGCTTCTAACAAAGGAGATTTTAAAAATCCTTCTGCAGAAGCACAGAGGGCGGAGAAAGCTGAGGCTGGGTCATTCCGGAATTGTAGGGAAGCCTCCCACTACACTGACCCCAAATTTCCAGATGCTGTAATGCCAGGCTTGGAGAAAGGGGAGAATTTAGCTGGTTTGAATGCTCTTGCCCCGCCCCCACCCCCATCCCTATAAAGTGAAACCCAGAGGGAATGAGAGCCCTGACGGGAAGCAGGGGGAACCCAGAGCTGGAGTCCTCTTCAGAATTAGCTCCCTGGAACACAGTCTACAGACCAGGTTCCGGCAGAGGAGGCGGGGGCGGGGGGGGGGCGCGGCGGGGAGATGGCAGACAACGTTCATTTCTATTAGACCTTCCACACAGATTTGAAAAGACCAGCCTCCCTCCACTTTCACATCTGTCCCCATCCTGTTGGGCCGCCAGCCAGGCCCAGAGGGGGCTACACTGGCAGGGACTGGGAGAAGCTACAAGGGGAGGCCCGAGCCTGAGATGTTTCCTGTTCCTGTTTCCAGGTTCTCCCTGGAGAGCGAAGTCAACCTCCGGGGACCCCTGGAGAACTTGGGGATGACTGACATGTTCAGGCCAAACCAGGCAGACTTCTCCAGTCTTTCAGGTAGGAGATTTTCCTTTCGCTTTCTTCCGCTGGCAGACTGTGGGGCCCCCAAGGGGACAAAGGGGTGTGTCTCTGAGAACCCCAGCTGATCTGCCCTGGGATGCGCTTGTGTTTCAGATCAAGAGGCACTGTACGTGTCCCAGGCGCTGCAGAAAGTAAAGATTGAGGTGAACGAGAGCGGCACGGTGGCGTCCTCCTCTACAGGTGAGTCAGGCTCAGGTGAGGCCTGGGGGGTCTCCGCCCAAGGCTTCTAGGAGGGGCCTACATCTGGGGCGAACTCCGTGGCCCTGCTCTACCAGGCTACCCTCATGGAGTGGCACCCCCTTCTCGCCCTGAGGCCAAGGGCATCGCCCCGACCCCAACAGAGTTTCTCAGCCTAGAAATTGGGCCCACTTGGCCTTGGAGCCCAGTCCCTGACCCGACGGCTCCAGAGGTCCCCTGAAGGTGAAAAGCACATCCCCCCACCCCGCAAAGGAAGCCTGGCTTCTTCTCCGAGTGGCTGGTCAGCTTAAGGAACTTGCTCACCAAGACGCTCTTACAAAGGCTCACATAAATGGCTGTTTGTGAGGAGCTGACAGGTCCCGGCGAAACTCCTGGAGGCAACCAGGCCTCTGAGGATTTCCCTCAACTGTTAAGGCTCACAGCCAAGCCTCCTAGACGACCCCCAGGGCTACCATCAGAAGGCTGGTGTCAGAGCATCCCTGCTGATCAGTCCAGGCGCCAGCGCCCAGTCCCTCTGTTCTAGAACCTTGCTCCTTCTCTCTTAGCCATCATCGTCTCAGCCCGAATGGCCCCCGAGGAGATCATCATGGACAGACCCTTCCTCTTCGTGGTGCGGCACAACCCCACAGGTGAGCCGAGGCCGCAATGCGCCCCCGCCCTCTCCCCCGGCCCCCCGCCCCCGGCCCATCTTCTCGCCTCAGGCACCAGTCTAGACAGGTGTAGACACTGCCTCCTACCCCGGGAGGACTCCAGACAAAGAATCCAGAGCTCTGGTTCACCTCCTCCATTCAGGGACAACGCTCTGTCCCCAACAGAGCACCGTGCCAGGACCCCAGCCCTAGCTTAGTCACAACAGCAGCTGTGACTCCTGACAGCTCACTCACGTTCTCACATCTCGGTTCATCCATAAACATGGGGCTGCGTGAGCTGTGCCTTTTCTTCCCGTTTTCATCTCCCACGCATCTTCCATCCTCAGGAGCGGTTCTTTTCATGGGCCAAGTGATGGAACCCTGACCGCAAGAGCAGCAGCCCTCGTCTGGGACAGAACTGGAGATACATCCAAGAAGAAGGAACTCTAAAGGAAAAAAAAAATATTTTAATTAATCTTTCTGGAGAAAAAGAAGGCATTTGCCCTTTAGGGAAACACAAAACAAAACAAAACAAAAAAAGGTAAATCTTGGGAATCTGCATCTCAGACCTCAGCCTCTCCCAGGAATGGGGAAGAGGACCTTTCAGTAAAACTCCACGGTGGAGCCCCCCGGAGAGACCTCCGAAGCACAGCTGGGTCTCCACACCAGACTGTAAACCTCGGACAACCACTGGCGCAGCTGCTCTGCCCATCCGGGTCTGCGGACCTGGACCCCGCCGAGACCCCGACAGGATGGCACCCCAAGGCTTGCGGGAGCCTTTGTGTGCTTGGTGGAAACGATTTGTGTTCCAGGCACGTAGCTGTCACTCTTGCACTGTCTGCCACTGCTGAGGAGGCTGGCGGCGGGCCAAAGAAGGCCAGTGGGAGAGGCACCCTTTCTGTTCGAGGTCTGCGCTGCCCCAGATGGGAGGGTCTCGCGGCCCCGGGCGGAGACCCGCCCTGACCTGGCCGTCGCCCTCCCCAGAAACAGTTGTGCATATATTATTTTGGAGTGTAGGTGACTTGTTTACTCATAGGAGCAGGTTTCTGCTTCCCACTAACTTCATTTTGCAGGAATGGAGGAAGAGAAGTGAGATGCGTGCCTGGTTCTTGGCTCTAATCTCCCGGTGGGGAGGGTGGGATGCCAGCGGTGTGCTTGGGTATTTAATCACATCCTTGTCCTTGTGTGCTTGTGAGAGAGAAAGAGGACTCTCAAGAAAAACGTAGTCGATGAATTTGCTTGTCATGTTCCCTGGTGGTCTGTGTCTTGCCTCTCAGGAGTCTGGCCCCTTGACTAGCTGCCCCTCTGGGCGGCAAGCGTGGTGGGGCCCACACTGCCCCCTTGTGGCTTCCTGGGCCCTGTGGTTCCTCTCCCGTCCTGGCCCTTCCACTCGATGGCGAAGACCCCCCCGCCAAGATGATCTAACTTTAGGAACCAAAAGGATGTGGTGGGTCAGAGAGATTACAGGGAGGACAGCGTGCTTTCAAAATTTTCCAATATATTTAGGAACAGGAGAGCAAGGGGCTGCACGACCTAACAGGACAGAACTTTCCCCAATTACAGGGTGATTCACAGCCGCATTGGTGACTCACTTCGATGTGTCATTTCCGGCTGCTGTGTGCGAGCAGTGGACACGTGAGAGAGGGGGAGAGAGATTGAGAGAGAGAGAGGAGAATGAGAGAGACCACGAGCTCGGACTTAACTACCCTAGCTAGATAATCTTTCTGAAAGCCAACGAGCTAGGGGGCATGGTATGAAGACCCAGTTTGTTGAAGAATTGCACATAGATGTTGAATGAATGAATGTAACCCAAACAGGACCCTAACCGCCTCCCCCACAACCCCTCCCCACGCTCTTCAGTGAAAAATCTTTGTTCTTTGTTTGTTTGTTTCTCTTAATGCACTGGACAGTGACAGCTACACACAGTCCCCATAAGGATACCCAAGTGTGGGGTCCAACATTCTTGAAGTTGTGTTGAATCATATGCTTTTTTCACTTTTGATATATAAACAAGTAAAATATTTTTAAAAAAATAATAAAATAAGTTAATTAAAATATTCCAAAAGAGTCCCTGTCTTTACTTCCCACGTTTCACGCGGTAGAAAATCAGAATCCCATCAGTCCACAGACTTCTCCAGTAAAGGGGATCTTTATGAAACGTATGCCCACAAGCCCAAGGCACAAAGACCTGCCCTGGGCGAGTCCATGGGGCTGACCACCGGGCCTCTGCAAGAAGGCGCACAGGCCATGTTGTGTAGGGCATAATTCTCCCCCTGGGCGTCACCCTCTAAAAGGAAAGAGGGGTCCCCCCAACACCTTCCACCTGCCCTGACACCTGCTCGTGCGCACTGTCCCTGTGGGTTCCCATCTCGGTTCATGCCATTGCCTTCCCTGACAAAAGCCCCCACCCCTGCACCCACCCCACTCCCCACTTCTCAAAACCCAGACCAAGCCCGGTTCCTTGACCTGGCACTCCCCACGGGTGACCTACCTGGTCCAGACCATCATTCTCTACCTGCCATTTAGCAAGGTTTCTTTTTCCGGCCGTGTAACAGGGCTCGTATTCATGTGTGCTCTTTAGCTCTGAGTGTGCCATCCGCATGTACAGATCGGGTTCCTCTGGAAACAAGGCTCTTTTGTGATATAGACTCTTAATATCCTCCTTAAAACGACATCCTGGAAAGTCTTTTATTCTATTCCTCTAGTTTCTTGAAGGCTCTTGCCAAGGGACATACCTCCCCCAATTAGTTTCTGTTCATATCTTCAAAAAAATAATATTTTAAGCTGAAAAAAAAAAAAACCACCAAGAACTAGCTGTCGGAATTGTATGCTGTCCAGCTCCAGAACCCTAAAGACAGGCGTGATAGATCAGCCCCCTGGAAACCTAGGTCTTTTTTCTCTCTCTCTCTTTTTAAATTTTTATTTATTTTAAGGAATCTCTGTGCCCAGCATGGGGCTTGAACTCCTGAAGTCGTGATCGAGAGTGAGTCTAGACTGAGGCAGTCCCTAGGTCTTGTCTTTTTTTTTTTTTTTTTTTTTAAGATTTTTTAGAATTTATTTGACAGGCAGAGATCACAAGCAAGCAGAGAAGCAGGCAGAGAGAGAGCGGGGAAGCAGGCTCTCTGCTGAGCAGAGAGCCCGATGTGGGGCTGGATCCCAGGACCCTGAGATCACGACCTGAGCCGAAGGCAGAGGCTTTAACCCACTGAGCCACCCGGGCACCCTCGTAGGTCTTGTCTTAATAGGAACTGATTACCACCTGCGGGCTTGTTCAAAATGCCCTCCAACAGTTAATAGGCAGTAAGTTCTCCATCACTGGGAGGGTTTAAGGACAGCCAGGATGACCTCTTGGTGGCGCTAGCTTCTGCAGACAGGGTATACTTTTTAAAACGTATGTTTTAATCGAAATTTAATTTTAGGTGTCAGGTGACTTGTGTAAGGGATACCAAACACAAGCTCTTAGGAAGACACTCGGTTTGAAAGTTAAAATAGGAACTTAATTGGTCCCCAGTTTCTTCGATGTTCTTTTAGAATTTCGCTAAGCATTTATAAGCATATTTAAAATCTTCTTCTCTTTCACACAAATGAGATCATTATACACACACACACACACACACAAAGTGTCCGGCAACTGGCTTTATTTACCCAATGATACAGCCTACACACCTGTCCCTCATCCCCTTTACCAGTTGTATATATAGACGAACTATAATTCCTAAACCCCCATTGATGGATTTTGGTGGTTCCATGGTTTTATTCCTATTTTTGTTACCAGCAAGGCTGGGATGCACATGCATCCCAGTGCACGTGTGTTCATGTGTCCATAGGATAGTTTCCTAGCAGCGGGACTAAGGATCTTTCAAGAACCTCTCAACCCTGCAGTCATGTGACTCTGGTAATACAAACATTCTCAAAAGGCACAGACAGTCAAAAGTGATCACTCTGCCTGGTTGGAATCTTACTTCTTCTCAAGCTTAAATAAGCCTTCACAACTTTCCTAAATAAGCCCACTGGTGTGAATAAAGATAGATTTCAGGCCTTGAACTAAAGGAACCTTCACATCATAATTTTCTCTAAATTGTGTTAGACTTCTTGGAGCGAGTTTAGATTATGATGTTAATCCAGAAAGGGTGTTCATTTAGCCTACTCACTCCCCAATCATTCAGCATTTGCTAAAGGGCTTCTCCCTGACCCTATCGTTCCTGTTTCTCTCTAGAGGGACAGTTAGGGACCTCCTTGGGTGCCTCCAACATGGTGCTCTAAGATGTTCAAAGGGGTTGTGGCTGTTTGGCACCTTCTCCTTATGGATTCTTGTCTTTTTTTTTTTTTAAGATCTTATTTATTTATTTGACAGAGATCACAAGTAGGCAGAGAGGCAGGCAGAGAGAGAAGGGGAAGCAGGCTCCCCGCCAAGCAGAGAGCTGGATGCGGGGCTCGATCCCAGGACCCTGAGATCATGACCTGAGCTGAAGGCAGAGGCTTTAACCCACTGAGCTACCCAGGCGCCCTGGATTCTTGTCTTTGGATTTGTCTTTTTTTCAGGCTTTCTCTTCTCCCCAAGGGTCCCTAGAGTATGAAGGGCCCCAAAGCCCAATCAAGCCTGGTCTTCCTCTCTCCTTAGAAAGCCAATGGATTAACTATACTGGAATTAAAATGTAAATTTTGGAAGGAGGGAAGGAAGGAAGGAGATGGAGGGAAGGATGGGGGAAAGGAAAGGAGGCCCACAAAGCTACTCTTAGCTTCCGAAAGGTGCTCTCAACCTCCGTGAGCACTCCTTCTTTCCTTTCCAATTCTCTGGCGAGCTCTGTGGGACCAAGATGGACTAGAAACTCATCACAGAACTAGGGAAAGGGAGCCATAGAGGCCACTTGGCCTGCTTCTAACTGGCTCAGACCAGAGATGCCCAAGCTAGACGTGGCCTGGTCCAGTTCATGAGATCACTGAGATTTGTAGCCAGAACTTAAGCTTGTGCTAAAGTATTCCTTTTCCTGCAAGCATACTTCCTTCCCTTTGGGGCTGTAGTGGGGAGCTGGAGTCATGACGGTAATGGCCCAAGAATGCAAGGGTGCAGGGACCCAGATAGACCTTCTGTCCTCCTTACCTCCTGAAAATAAGACCGATTCCATGCACTGGCCTGATTGTGGAGGATTTACCCATCGGTAACAGCTTTGCTCAGAAACCGAGAGCATCTCAAAAAGCAGAGCAAGTTAGCCTGGTTTGACAGGGTACAGTTCAAAAAACCATCCATCCCTGCTGAGAAGTCTCAGAAGAGAAGGGTTCATCAGAAGGCCTCACCCCCGCAGAAAGAGTTTGCTCCGGGAGGTGCCCTATTTAACTGTGCCCTCTGCTTTTCTCAGATATTTTGGGGACAGAGATGATGATGCGCCCCTCACAGTACAAAGCCTGCCCGCCCCTGCCTGACTTCACCCGGGGCCCCCCTCCTCCACCCCTCCAAATCTCTCTTCCTCCATCTCTTTAGAAATGAAAAGCCAACAAGATCTGCTTCCAGCCATCA